CCATCTGAAACCCATTCAGCAGCCCTCTGCCTCCTTGAGTTCTGCATGAACAGCTGCCATCCGGCTATGCAGTAGTCCCAGCAGCCCACCAGGGACACTGGGGTATGCAGGGGTGGGGTGGGGTGGCCAAGGAGAGTGAACTGGTAGCACTGCCCCACAGCAGAGCTTTAGGGGTAGACAGACCTGATGGAATTCCAGCTGTCACTGAGCAGCTGTGTGAACAAGCACAGCTATTTCATCTCTCTGGTTCTCAGTTTGCTTTTCTGTAAAGTGAAGAAGAGGGAAAAGGAAAAATAAAAACAAAGTACCACCTACTGTGACAATTAACTGTAACAAGTAACAATGACTCTAGGTGCTCAGGACATTGTCCTTATTTGTATAAACCGACAACTACTGAGATGCATTTTTATGGAAAATTACACTCCTCTTGGCATAGACACCCTGGCTGTCTATATGTAGTCTCCTCCGTTTCACTGATTTCCCTGCTGGAGATTCTAGCTCCCCCTGACATTTCTCTAGGCTTTTTTCCTTTATTTTTTCCCCCCCTCCAGTCTGAAGCTTCCCGGCTTTTCTCAATCCCAGTCCATACAGAATTGGCTTTGAGAGCTCACATGAACAGACAAGATTTTGCCTATGCATCATGTGGGGTTCTATGTCCTTCCGGTTCTCTTAGAGATGCCCTTTAGGAAGCTTTCAGAAGTGGGCCCATTCTGGAGGCTTAAAGCTCCACCCTTGGATGAGGTGCTGCTATAAATTAGAAGCATAGGCTGCAGATCTGAGGATGGCATGTGTCCCTCAGCCTCAACTGATGTGTGGTGCCTTCCCCTTTAAGTTGGCCTGGTAAAAAAAAAAAAAAAAGCCAGCCTTTAGCAAGGTCTAGAAGAAAGAGGACCTAGCAGCTTAGTTCCAGCAGGCAGCATAAGGTCTCCTTCCTTGCCTCGGGGCATTCATCTGAGCCTTCAAACCTCTCCAAGCAATGGATTCTTCTCAGAAAGAATGTTCTTCTGGGAAAGGGGAGAGGTTCCTGGTCAGGCTTGTGGCCATTGACATCTCTTTGCCTGGATACAGGCTATTCAGTTCCAGCAGGCAACATAAGTTCTCCTTCCTTGCCTCGAGGCATTCATCTGAGCCTTGAAACCTCTCCAAGCAATGGATTCTTCTCAGAAAGAATGTTCTTCTGGGAAAGGGGAGAGGTTCCTGGTCAGGCTTGTGGCCATTGATATCTCTTTGCCTGGATACAGGCTGCCTCTCTGTCCCCCACCCTCCCCAGTCCCCATCTAGTGCTCCTCATTATTGGAGGAGCTTGTGACAGCATGAACAAGCCAAACCCCTGTTTCTTCTCTCCATCCCACTTAAATATGCACAACTACACTTGGGTTTTCTTAAAAGCTGCTAATTTGCCAATCAGAGAAGTCAAACTATGTTTCTGTGCTAATGGGAGAGAACCTGAAAAAGGCCAAAGGAGAAAATATTTTCAACACACTTGAAAAGCTGTTGTCTTTTGAGTATATTGAGTTCAAATAAATCAATAAGAAAAACAACAGCCACCCTCCGAATGAGGAGACAGCACAGACAACACATTCACCTGAGAGAACATGTGATTTGTAAATAAGCATATGACAGTATCTTCGACCTTACTGGTAATCAAGAAAATGCAAAACAAATAACTACATATGTTACTCATCTACAGAATTAATAATGACTTAAAATCTAATGTTTAATTCTGGCGAGAGGATCTGAGATGAGCACTGGAATTCTTGATTGGGGAACATGTAAATTGCTACAGCCACAACTCATGAGTGTATCAAAAACTTTAAACACACTCTTAACCTTCGATCCAGTAATTCTACTTGCTGGAGTACAAAGTAAGAAAAAAAATATGAAATGCAGACATTTATATTCACGTGGTTTATCACAGCACTATTTAACTAGCAAAGCCAAGGAAAAACCTAGTGATTAAACCAAATTAAAGAGCTTTTATACTTTCATATGGAAAAATGGTTATGACATAATGTTTGGTATTGAAAGCTCAGCACTTGAAATCACATATTCAGTAAAATCTCAATAAGTATAAAGCAAATATTCATAAATGCGTAAAAAGACTAAAAGTAAATAATTTTAATGTGCCAGAGATTATGAGCAATTATTAGGGTTTGGAGGCATTTTCCATTATTTATTATTTTTTATATAAAGAGCATCTATTACTGTGATGAAGGGTAAAACTCTTCATTAAAAATGTCAAAGGACCCAAGTAGCACCTACCCACCTCTGCCTGTAAGGACTCACACCCAGGACAGTGCAACAGCAGTAGGGGACCTCCAAGCCCCCTCCCATAAAGGAGCCAGCACTGCGTGTTAGTTTGCAGTGGGGATGTGGAGGGTAGGTGCCCCCTTCCCATGGGCAGTTCCTTCCCTGTATAGTGCTGGGATGGAGGAGAAAATTCCTCCCCAGGACTTGATCACATCCTCTCACTCCTTGGAGGACTCAGCAGCTTTTACCAGCCATGAGGCACAGTCATTGAAGGGACAGCCAGAGCTGAGTCTCAATCCTGGTTGCACTGCCCTGGAAAAATTCTCTCAGCAGCTTTTACCAGCCATGAGGCATAGTCATTGAAGGGACAGCCAGAGCTGAGTCTCAATCCTGGTTGCACTGCCCTGGAAAAATTCTTGTCACTCCTCTGAACCTCAATTTTCTCACCTTTAAAATGGGCCCTTTGCAATACCCTCTTTGAGAGAAATTAAATGAGATAAGAACTGTTTTATTGTTACAAGATATAGCTGAGTATTTTCACTTCGTGATTAAATATCCAACACATGAATACACATTAGTAGTGCATTTCTGTGACTTAATGTCAGACTCTTACCACATAATCTAATTTTTCATAGTTATTTTACCTTCTTAAAACAGCAATCATTTCTTTAAAATTGGACATTTCCATGGTTTAATTTTCTAAAATATATCCATTTCCCTTCTAGCTAAACTGCTACTCACTTAAACACTACTTACCTTCCTTTCTGAATGGCCTGGTGTCCCTACTAAAAAGTGTGTGTGTGAAGAAGAGGACCAATATATTTAAATAACTCCTGTGTGCTAAGTAAGACACTGGAATTGTCTCATTAATTATTAATTATCTAATGTATTACAACAACCTCACTTCACAGATTGCTACAATTTTGTGGATGAGAAAATTGAGGCTCAGAGAAGTGAAGTACAATGCTGAAGGTTACCCAGCTAGTAGGCACTAGAGTAACCCAGATCCAGTCCCAAAGCTCCTCAACAGGATATGGAAGTCATATCCTCCAGTTATGGCTGGAGCTGAGATGCTTTAGTTCTATAATAAATGCTGCTCTTCTCTTATATCTGACGTTTATGATTTGTAGGGCTTTCTATTTTTGCTGTCTATTAGTTAGCTAGTTGGTTAGTTTATTTTTTTCGCTTCCTTTCTGTAAGGAATTCTTGTTACGTTTTGGTGCTTTTAACCTGTCCCACTCTGAGAAATTAAATAAGCAAACCTCTTATGATTATGTCAGTGAATTCTAACTGAGTTTCTAAAAGGTCCTGCTACAAGTGCGGTGCTTGTTCTTTGATTACCTGGGGGGACTTCCCTACAGCTCTCCAGCTGCATCTCAGGTAACTGAACTTATTATCTCTGAATACAGGGCGTACTATGGTCCAATAGGGACATATATGTATTATTAAACAAAATGTTAAACTATTACATTAATCATTGGTAGTTTCTATTAAATGCCTTTTCTATTCCATTGGGATTTTATAGACATTGCCTCTGTAAAACACTTGAATGTAGTTATTCCTGTCTCCATCTTCTAGATGAGGAAACTGAGACTCAAAAGTTTCCATACCTGGCCAAAGGCATTCTGTGAATATTTCACTTCAAATCAACGTGTATATGATGAGCATGGAAGTTTGACTAAAGGTCTATAAGCAGTGCGGGTCCTTCATGATCTAACTAAAGTGAATCATGATTGCCCTCCCACTGTCACAACTGCAATTCTACTGAGTATGCCTGGAGTTTGTCCAGCCCAGGTAGAGCTGGGCAAGGCCTCTGCATTGCACACCTCAAGGGGGCAGCCTTGCTTTGTGTTCAGCCATGAATAATACTCCTGAGGGCATGCGCATTGTGCAAACAGCTGGAATGGTGCCCTGCCATGGTGCAAGAGCGACCTTAATGGCAGGTGGGGGAAGGGAGTCACAACACGTCGTTGGGGACTGTCAAGAAAACAATGACAAGCAGCACAGGAAGGATGAAGCATCAGACATGAGAAGTACAAAGTATTCTCCTGGAGCTGGAATTCAAAAACGAGGGTAGCATGGTCTCAAGTTCCCTGCCCTTTTCTAGGGGGTAGAGGGGGTAATTTAATGCATAACATTTTTTGTGGGTAGTGCGGATTGACTCCGTTTAACTAACCAAAGTATCAAAATCAATGTGGAGTTTTAATTGTGCAAGTAAAGTGAATTCTCCACAAACTCCACTATGTCAGGAAGCTGCACACAAAGGTGATCCTAACAAATCACATGCCCCTTGACCAGAAATCTTTCCTTTTTTCTAATAATCTTTCTCAAACTTTAGCCTTTTGAGTGGCACAGTTCCCCTGAGAGGCCAGCAAGATGGACTCTTCCCAGGCACAGATGACCTGTGGCTGGCTGGAAAAGTCCGCAGAACTACCAAGTGCCGGAGCAGCCAGAGCAGCCAGCCAAGACTCAAACACAGGTCTGTCCCTATTTGGTCACCAGCCCTGATGGTGTCCGACCAGGCCATCATGTCACATCTGGGAGTTTTTCCGTTTGCACAGGGGGGAATTCTCAGCCACATCCTCTGTATCTGGTAGTCGCAGATGGAAACAGAAACATAGTTAGAAAAATGTGATCCTCGCGCAGGAAAGCTGGAGCACAGTAGAGTTCAGAAGTGGGCGGGTGTGTGCGTGTTGTTGTTTTGTTTTTTAAGGGTGGAAACCCCACCAGCCAAGTCTGCAGAAAAAAAATAAATGAAGTCTGCCTATCTCCGGACCGGAGCCCCTCCCCTCGGCCCGCGCCAGAGGAGTGTGACCCAAGTGCCGCTTCCTCCCACTGCTGAGGGTCAGAAGCCCTCCAGCGCGACCCTCGCCACCGCTCCGTCCCCTCCCCTCGTCCCCTCGGCCTCTGCCTGGCTCGCGCCCAGGACCAGCGGGCGATGAGCAGCCTCAACGGCACGTCGCCGCCCCCCGGCTCCGGTCGGAAAGGTGCTCCGGACCCGCGGGGACCTTCTCAGGGACTTGCTCTCCACTCCCGCTGCGAGGCAGGCGCGCGATGGTGGAGGGATCCGCTGGCCCTGACCTTCTTGGCGGTTGCAGTTCCTCACTGCTTGCTTGCTTGCTTTTTAAAACCAGCACATGATTCTTTCTTGACAGGAAATCATATGCGGTGAGATTCTTTATAGACGCTCAGAAGCACTGCTGGGCCTCTCCCCGCGCCCCCGCAACTGGGCTTTTGCAGTATAAACTAAAATTTTATTTTTTAAATAATGAATTATATCCCTTTTATTCCCCACCCTGGCTAAGTCTGATCACTAGAGGCTCTCTGGCTATGACAGGGGCTACTGCGAGGCTAAGGCTAAGGCTGATGTCGCGTATCCTGCTCACAGCACCACTTGTCTAGCTCTCACTCCTGTTGTGACGCCAATTGTAAAGCTAGGCGACCACACTAGTTGTTGCGGCTCTTTTACCTGCCGGTAATCCTGCACCGACTAGGACGATGGTTGACCTAGGGCTGGGTCTGGAGCTCCCAGACCCCTCAAGCCCATTCACAGACTGGGTCACAAACCCTTCACACACCAGGCTGGGTCACCAGACCCCTCCATGCCAGGCTGGGTCACCGGACCCCTTCACGCAGGTCTATGAGCTAGGTAACTGGCCACATGGTCCTTGGAAGCTGCTGGTCTGGAAAAACATGGCCATGCAGGGCAGGTGCCGCAGGCAGTAAACACCAGCCAAAGTGGCTCCACCTTGCAGGCACACATACTCCACCCACACACACAATGTTTACTGAACTGCCCTGAACTGGCTCCCAGGCAGGGGAGCCTGATCAAATTGTTCCATTTTCCCAACCAGCCACCCCTTCAGGGTCCCTTGCCATACAATCTACGAGTTCAGAATCTTCCACAATGTTCCCTTAGCAAGGATAAATGACCCTTATATTTACATAACTTATTGTCCATTCAATATGCCTTAAGGCTTGTAGCTCTGTCATTTTGACTGTCAGCCGCGTATGTCTGGTTAGTAGTAACCATTGGTGTAATCCTCCATGCAAATCCTGCAGTCATACTGATGGGCAGTTCAATGCATATTCAGCAGGCCAACACATTGATCACACGACTCTGGTGCAGTGCCCGCAACCAGAACACTATAGGCCAAAAGACAGAAGAGTTATTGGTACCAATAGGGGAAGTTCTCGCCCCTCTGGTAAGATACATGCCAGTTTGCCATCCTGAGAAAGGATGGTTGCAGGAGTAGGTATCTTACTTGGCTTATGATACCATATTTTATCTGCTAACACTGTTGGATCTGTAGGTTCTACATGTAACAGTATAGGGGGAACTCATAATTGGCCATAATGATAATACAAATGTGCCCTTTGGAATAGAGCACTCATCTGTTCCAGGCCATGTCACCGTTACTCGAGTAGGCCAGGTACTTGTCACCCAAGGTAAAACTTGTAAGCCTTCCTCTAATCCTTTTCCCCAAAGCCCTATTAAACCTACCCAGCATATATGGGGGGCTTTTGTTCTCAAAGGCCATTCCCATTGTACTGTCTGTCCCTGTTGCAAACAGGTTGGGGCCGATAAGAGAATATTTCCATTCTTGCCATATCCTGGCTTCAAAAGCTTATCTTTAGTAGTGACTTGCAGATGTAGTTACTCGAGTAGGCCAGGTACTTGTCACCCAAGGTGAAACTTGTAAGCCTTCCTCTAATCCTTTTCCCCAAGGCCCTATTAAACCTACCCAGCATATATGGGGGGCTTTTGTTCTCAAGGGCCATTCCCATTGTACTGTCTGTCCCTGTTGCAAACAGGTTGGGGCCGATAAGAGAATATTTCCATTCTTGCCATATCCTGGCTTCAAAAGCTTATCTTTAGTAGTGACTTGCAGATGTATAGGTGCTGCAGCCCTATGCAACAGAGCTTCCACTGGAGAGGGTCTGCCCTTGTAGGATCTCTCATTTAGAATTCTGACTGTCGGCCATAATCACCGTGCCCACCCCTTCAGGGATGGGGGTTGGGTAGATAGCCTTAGTCCCCTTTTTAAAAGGCCATTGTACCGTTCAATCATTCCTGCCGCCTGGAGATAATATGGCACATGTAACTTCCACTGAATGGACAACTGGGAGGCCCATCTCTGAACCCCATGTCCAGTAAAGTGGGTTCCATTATCACTTTCTATAACTATAAGCCAGCCATACATAGCAGTAAGGCTATTCAGTGCCTTCACAGTGTTTACCTTGTCTGGGGCATTACAAGGCCATACCAACAAAAGACCAGTAGCTGTATCAACAGCTGTGAAGATGTATCTGAAATTCTCTGACTTTGGCAGTGGTCCAACAAAGTCTACTTGCCATCGAGTCAGGGGCACCCTTCCTCAAGTTATTTGCCCATCTGTATGGGGCATCCGCCGGGGGTGTGGACTCTCTTGAGCACACACTGGACAAGCCCGACAGGCATTCACTACATCTTCCCACTTTATAGGCAAGGCCCATCTTTGAGCCGCCATCCACATGGTTTTACTGCCAGCATGCTGCATTCATTGATGTAACCACTGGGCTACATCAGTAGCGGGGGCTCTCTCCAGCCGTCTTACCTTAGCCAAGGCATCAGCTTCATCATTTCCCGGGCTGGCTAAGGGGAAGTGCCCCGTGACATGAAAAAGAGTTACTTCTTTCTCATGTCTTAATTCCCATAACTCTTGCCACATGGCTTGTCCCTACAGGGGTCGGTGGTCTACCATCCACTGTTGATATTTCCAAGTAGAGATCCAAAGGGTTAAACCTTTGTACACAGCCCAGCTGTCAGTACAGATGGTTAATGACCGAGGCTCAATTTTTATCACCATCCATACTGCTCTCAGTTCAGCCCATTGACTGCTTTGTCCTATGCCATTTTCATATCACATGGTATCTGTTGAGGGCTGAACAGCAACAGCTGTCCATGATGCTGAAGGTCCCATGCTAGAGCCATCTGTATACCAAGCTTCCTCTGTGATAGGTCCCTGTCCCTCAGGAAAAGGAGTAGCTTCCACCTCCATGGGTAACGGTTGTGTCAAAGTTTCCTCCACAGCCTCTACAGGGCCTAGCACGGTTTGCAGCTCTTTGAACAGAGGACTCGTTGACACAGTGCTCCTTTGTTCTATATATGCTCCCCATTTAGACAAAGTGGGAGTCTGAGCTATACCCATTTCAGGGTTGGTTGCCCATGTGTGCAGCCAACCTGTTATGGGGTATGTTGTCCTTACTAGGACTTTGGCAGTTCCTATGATAGCTTCAGTGGCTATCAAGGCAGAATACACAGCTGCTAACTGCTTTTCTATTAGGGTGTAGTGCACTTCAGCACCCTTCCAGAGCTGAGACCAGAATCCTACGAGTGTGCGGAATCAGTCTTGTTTCTGCCACAAACCCCATCCTAACCCCTCCTGGGTTATATGTATGTCTAACTCAAACGGCTTAGTGGGGTTGGCCACTTGTAAAGCTTGTACTTGCTATATTGCCCTTTTTGTAGCCTGATAGCTTGTTCTACTTCCTTAGTCCAATCCCAAAGGGCTCCTTTCTTTGTCAATGCATATAGTGTGCATGCCTTTGGGGCCATATGGGGTACAAAAGCTCTCCAATACCCCAAAAGTCCCAAATATGTCTGTAGCTGAGCTACCATTGTGGGTTGAGGGTATGCCTGTATCTTATCTATAATAGCTTCTAGGATGACCCTCATCTTACCCAACCAGACCACTCCCAGGAATCTGAATGACAGCCCTACATTGTTCCAAATGACTTAGCAGCATTGGAGCTACCTGGGTTAAATCTGCAAGAGGGTCAGAGGTTAATAACACATCATCAATGTAGTGAAACATTATAACCGTGCTGGACCTAGTCCACTTGTCTAGGTCCCCAGCCACCAAACCATGACAGATGGTTGGGCTATGCAGATAACCTTGGGGTAATACTTGTAAGTTCCACTGTCTTCGTTCCCACATGAAGGCAAACTGATCTTGGCTATCAGCCAAGATTGGAATGGAGAAAAAAGCATTTACGAGGTCCAATACATAAAGATAAGTTCCCAGCTGAGTCATCAGCTGATCCATCAAGTCATGAACTGAAGGTGTAGCCATATGCAAAGGAGGCATTACTTTGTTCAGTTCTCTATAATCTATAGTCATTCTCCAGGTACCATCAGGCTTTTTCACTGGCCATACCGGAGCATTAAATGGGCTCTGAGCCAGACAAATAATACCAACTCTCTCTAATTCCAATACAGTAGCACTTATCGCTGCATGTCCTCCAGATAGGCAATACTGCTTTACATTAACTACATGGCTTGGCTTGGGTAACACCTGTGGGTCATGTTTAGCATATCCTCGTAACATAGGCTTTACTGTCCATATTTGCAGCCAAAATGCTCCAACTGTTGTTTGCGGGTACAAACCATAAAGTACATCCATACCCAGTATGTATTCAGCTACAGGAGATATATATACAGTATATACATGAGGAGATAATCTTCCTATGCCCAATGGCAATGACACAGCTTTGACCTCAGTAGTATGTCCTCCATATATGAACTGTGGCCCCTGGAAACTTATCAGGATTGCCATGTATCAGGCTACATTCTGCACCTGTATCCACCAATGCCAAAACACACTGCACATTTGTCCTTGACAAATATATTGCCAATTCAACATGAGGCCTCAGGTCCTCACCTGCCCCTAAAAGACAAGTACCTTGGCCTGCTCCCTAATCAAAATGGAACAATTCATCTGCCTCCTCAGGAACAACCAAAAAGTCCTTTAAATCCACTGAGCATACCTTGCTACCTGTTTCTGGACATTTGGTGAAACGCTGTTCAGGGCACAATTGCTGCCACAAGGCAAACAGGACTGCATTTGGCTGCTGGTCAATTTTCTTTTTATCAACCCCTGCTGCAAGCAAGTCAAGCCACATGTGCTTATGGCTAGTCTTGCTTAGTCCCTTTGGG